CTGGGAGTTGAAGTCCACTCATCTTAAAGTGGCCAAGTTTGGACAACACTGGCTTATGGGGTTGTTTATACAGTCCCAAAGAATAGCTAGTAGAACTCTGGGTAAACCAATGGGACCAGCTGCTGTTGCATTTGCAGGTCAAATTCCTCACATCTAATTTACTCTCCTTCGTAAGACAGAATTAGAGACTAATGCAGCCAGTACACTATCTAGTTAGTTTGTTATGGATATATTTGAACTTTTATAGTTTGCGAATATAGATAAATTATTTCGAGATTTGAGATCCACTGCTTACTTGGTGTCCATTCTGGCTAGACCATCAGCTTGAAAGCCAATCTGATTAATGCTTCCATGTGGCAATCTTTAGTCTCTCCTGCTTTGGAAATAGGTGGTGGTTTTAATTCTCTTAAATAAGGCCAAATTAAATCTAGCTGATATGAAAAAGGTATTGTTCTGTGCCTGATTTTTCAGTTCTTTGCAAGGTAATAGAAAGACTTGTGGTGCCCAGTTCCTGACATTTGTAGGATCCAAATTATCAGTTTCTTTTCAGTCTGATTTCTGGCCTTATTAGGGACTGAAACTATCCTTGGCAATCTGATATATGACCATGATGGAGACAGAAACACAGCAATAGTATTTATCCTTCTGATGTATTAGCAGCTTTCAAAGATGTTGATCATAGTGTCAGCATTAGTACAACTAATATACTCAAGCATGAGTATATATCCAGAAGGTTGTACTTGGAATTTACTGCTCTGTCTCCTTTCTTCTGTGGTTCTTCTAGATTTAATTTTGTGTGCATGGTGTTTGATAGCCACATGAAATTCATCACAAGGAGACAATGGAAATCCTAAACTGGTATCTGAAAACAGTTCCCAATCAATAAGGGTGAATCATATACAACTCTGATTTCTCTTTGATTGCTTTTAAGTCAGCTGTACATATGTATTTGTTTCATATTGCCTTCTCTAGCTTCTTTACTTGTTACTCATTTTTTTTAAAAAAGGGTGGATAGTCATTTGTTCCCCCTCCACAGATGCAAAATATCCATCAAGCAGATGGGGAGAGCAGCAGCCTACTCCCCCTACAGCCTCAAATCTAGATAAGCTGATTAAAGACCCTTTACTAAAAGAAATGTAGGTCTGAAAATAAGGAAGAAGAGAATTTTTTTTTTTAATCACCCTCTTTCTGTTGTACTAGATGGCGCCTTCCATCAATGGAGGGACACCAATTAGAAACCACCCTTGGTGTGTTGTTTGAATAGGTATTTTCTAATTTTCTGTGATGATTTGTATCTTTCTGGAAGCTACCTTATAAGGCCATTGTGCTGAAACAGGCTGTGTAAATATTTCAGGTAAATACATAAGAGATATATAATAAGAATCAAATGTAAACATATCCATTTAAATATGTTTTATTAAGATCGTGGTTGCCAATAAGACTAATTCAGGTGATATTAAATTACTACCACAGTATGACAAATAGTCAAAGGAATATTAGAAAATAACATAATTTGTTCCTTTTTAGGCTAAAAATTATACTTACGAATGGAGAAAGTCTTTTTCTGTCAGGACCAGACAACATTGCAACCAAAATTTTCTATATACCTTCCCCACTTGATTGCCTTGGATTGTACTTTGAGAATAGTGATGATTTTTCTAACCAAGTTACTGGACTTCTTGGTAAGTAACTACTGCTGTAGACTAATACAATTTGGAATTAAATTTGGCTTTTCAATAGCATCATAGTATCCACAAAGTATCTTATCCACATTATTTTGCTAGTCTGTGCAATAACCCTTTGAGATGCATTAGCACTGAAAAGATAAAGCTGCCCTTGAATCAAATTTGATTCCTGGTGATTTCATGAACATAGCCACGTGGTTTTCTTCTCAGCAGTAGGGAAGTGTTTTTCCCTTGCCTTCTTCCTGAATGTTTTTTTTTTTTATACAAAACCCATAACTAAAATCCTGGAAAAATAAGAACCTAAAGTAACTATACAGGAATGCCACCTTGTAGTCTTTCATGCAGCAGTAGCACAACCTCTACCACTTCCAAGACTGTACAGCTGTAGAATTCGTTGGGGAATCTTTTCTCCAGGTTTGTCAATCAGACTCCGAGGATGTGGCACTACTAGGAGTTTGCACCAAAACTAGGCAAATCCAAACCCAAGTCAGACAGATTTAAGTCATGTCCACATGAGGATTTTGAGTCTGTCTGAAAACAGCCCCCATGTCATCAGCTGTGTTGGAGAGCTGAGTTGATCAAATTCTGCCTCAGCTGTGATACAGCTGAACCTGCTGAAAAGTGAGGATTAGGGCTTGGTTTTGTCCTCTAGACCAGTCTTTCTCAATCTTGGCAACTTGAAGATGTGTGGACTTCAACTCCCAGAATTCCCCAGCTAATGTGAATGCATTTCTCAACTGGAAAACTCCTACTGAGTTTATGCTTCTGTAAAGGAATTGTCAGCTTGATGACTTAGTAGCCTCACCAAATGAAACCAAGGAATGTTATTAGTCTCTGAGCCATTTTTAAAAACATTTTTCCTTTCCTTCCCCTTTTGCATGGAGTACAGAATCTGAATCAGCAGAATGGCAGTGAGTTTCATACCTTGTTCTCAGCATTTCAAGTTAGTAGAAAGGAAGATAATCACCTTCTAAAGTGAGGGCTGGGAGAGTGAAAACTAGTCATACGGAAATGGCCTTCGATAAGTTTGAGAGAGATTCAGATCAGAGCAGAGTTCCATCTGAAGCCCCCCAAAATTTTCTAGGGATTCAGAAGACCACCAACAATGTGTCTATAGAAGCACCTATTTCTTCAGAGTGAGGAAAAAGAAAGGGGTACAGCTTTGGGACTGTATCCCTTCTTTTTCCATTTCTCACTCTGGAGAAATATATCTGGTGACTCTGCCTCTATTTACATTTGTTTTTTATCAAGGCTTCCCAATCACAGTGTTTTGTAACAAAGATAATGATGTAGTAAATCAGAGGCCAGTTCTAGTGCCTGCTGGAAATTTCCTCCTAGGGTTAGAAATGGTGTGTGTTTATATTGGGAATTTGTGGGAGCTTGGAAAATGCAACACAACATGCTTACTGAACATTCTGGATGCTCATGTATTTCTGCAACTGTTTGTTGCTCATCAATCATTTACTCCTATCCTTTAGTACCCTCTGTGAGTTTGGTCCCAACTGAGCAGAAAACAAAAATGCCTTGCATTGCTTTTAATTAACCTTTAACTCCCTACTTTTGGCACTTGGAATATTCCATGTTTCTTGCCTAGAAAAATAACAATAATGTTTGTTATTTTTATCCAAATTGGCAAGCAAGCAACAAATGGAAGAGAGGGGAAATATATAATTCCCCTGAAATTTGGAATAAAATAAATGCACATTCTTGTTGCTTATAAGAGAAACCACTGCAATTATTTCTATGAAATTTGGCAGGGTTTATTCTCTAAAAAGAGACTAGCAGCCTTGCAAATTTTTAAAAAGAGAAAGTTAAAGCCATTTATTGGCTTCCAATAACAGTCAGAGCAAAGGTATCTGCTGTCTTGAAGGCTTTCATCAAAATGAGGAAAGCAGTGTCACACGATTGTGATTGAAGCTCCACCTTTTTCATACATGCGTGTGATATCACAATGCACACATGTTGTGAACCTTGCAGTGCAGTGCGATGGTGCAATGCTGCTTTTGACATTTGCTCATCCCATGCATGTCTCTGAGTCAATGGGAGATTTGTATTTTCAAATCAAGATCTGAATTCAGGTCTCAAATAGAAGTAGGGGTTCTTTGAAACAATGCAAGATGGGACAGGCTAATTCACACCAAACTCTGGAACTTAGTACCAGCACAGAAGTGGGTGAACTTGACTGCAGGCTACTTGGTGGAATGTTTCATTTAAATGTGAGACTTGCTTCATGGATGATAAAGTCAGATCCATTTCCTCCAATGACCATGGTGCTCTTGGACAAGAATACATGAATGATATGGCACACCTCTAGCCATTGATAATGGATGAAGGTTTCTGAATGGAAAAGTCATTTCAGAATTAACTTGTAGCACAGTAGTGCATCAAAACTCCAGAAATGTTCATAACCGGTGAATGTAGGAACTGTCTGAAAAAGCATAATGAAAGTGGTGCTGATGTTGTTACACAGGACGGAGGGGGTATTGTTTTTAGCCCCTTTCAATATATGTCCTTCCAGTGATAATTGTCCTGCCTCAGTCTGAAGCTATTAATACAACTGGGAATATTCAGAGAACTGACTGTTTTGAATGCTTAAATAGCATTATAAAGCCCCCAACTATTTTTAAATGACACTATAAGAGAATGGACTGAAGTTTAAACTGTAGCTCTTGATTGCTATGGACTGGTCAAAATATAATCCTTTATATTTATATTTTTTGTTTATATTTATTTATTTTATTTATATTTATATTTTATTTATTTTTATATTATTTAAATTAAATATAAATATAAAAAATAAGAGAATGGACTGAAGTTTAAACTGTAGCTTTTGATTGCTATGGACTGGTCAAAATATAATCCCAAAATATTAATTAAAATGCTGAATGATTAATTAATTATAACTACATAAAGAAAAGCA